GTATGTTAAATAGAGGTTCCACTTTATCTAAATAAAAAAATGCAAGTTTGATTCAATCTAAAAATAATTATTGATATAGTAATTAATATTAAGTAATTGGTTGTGAATTTATATTATTAATTGATACTATGCTTTTTTTAGTAACTAATTATAGTAAAAATATTGCTGAAAATTTAGCTATCAATTTGAGTGGTAAATTAATTAATAATTTAATTTTGTTCACAGGAATGAAATAATATATTTATAATTTATATATTATATTGTTATTTAATTTATATTATGTGTTATTGGTTGAAGAAGTAAAATTGGTGATAGTTTTTAGAGCATTGATTTTTTATTTAGATTTGACCGATTTAAGAGATTTTTTAGTACTTTTAGTAATTTGGATATTTTAGGGTATGTATAGTCAGTAAGTATGTTATCCACACAGTATTAGATCAGGCCATGGCTTGACTGACCTGAACCGTTTTTACTTGTTTCACCTATAGTATTAATAATATACTTAATAAACAAAATTCAAACAATTTTTAATTAAATGTAAAATACTGTTGAATATATGTTTTCAAATAATTACAAATAGTTACAAATCAAAAGTAAAACAACAAATTTCAATCAATTTGATTAATGTGGTGGGTGGGACACGCATGAAGTTAGCCCATCATTGAGAAAATAGTTTCAACTTATAAACGATGAAGTTACACAAACTCTTAAAAAATTAGGTCGCAAATCATTTGGAAAATGTGTTATGAAGTGGAGAGGCTATAACTAAATAAGTCATAATTACGTATTCATTCCGGTGTAAATATTATCATTGATTGCAAATACTATAGTACTTGTCAGGCAACCAGACGCTAAATCGTACGCCACGCAATGTTTGGCGATTGGCGAGTAGGTTCCTACGCCAGTATTTTAAGTCATTAGTCATTATAAATTATTATAATTATAGGGATTAAAACCGATATTCGATACTGATTTTGAATACCTGTTAAAACCGTTAAAAACCGAAATCGAAACGGAAAAAATGAATACCGTTATCCGAAACCGAAACCGGAAAAAATCGATACCGGTATCCGAAACCGAAACCGAAAAAGTCAATACTGGTATCCGAAACCGAAACCGAAATCGGAAAAAATCAATACCGGTATCCGAAACCGAAACCGAAATCGGAAAAAATCGATACCGGTATCCGAAACCGAAACCGAAAAAAGTCAATACCGGTATCCGAAACCGAAACCGGAAAAAGTCAATACCGGTATCCGAAATCGGAAAAAATTGATACCGGTATCCAAAACCGAAATCGGAAAAAATCAAAACCGGTATCCGAAACCGAAAAAAAAATTTTCGGTTTCAAGCCCTGGTATACCGTATTCGACCTGATAACTGATAAGTGATATTCAATTGTAAAATATTATTTTTATTTTTACACAATAGAATTAAAAAAGCCAAATTTAAATCTGCAAAAACAAATAATAAAATAATATACCCTTTTCCATTTACATTTACATTTCCCTTTTCCATTATACACACCGTATACTTATAAAATACATATTTTTTCAAGTATACGCATTTCTTTGTAAATATCGTTATGAGTATACGCCCCAATACACACCTATACAAATTATATGATTATGTATTATATAATTATATGTGTCAACATTTATAAAATCTAAATATATACTAAAATCTGATTCTAAAATTGGAGTTTTCAAACATATTTTTGGTATTAATAAATACAAAGACGATAAAATCGTCTTGGGTTTGGAAAAAACTTTCTTTAAGTTAACTAATAAAATCATCATAGAATGGAACTGCAATTTCAATACGAAAATAATCTTCGGGAATTTTGGTATCTACATTTATTCTATTTGTTGAACGACTTACTAATCTTGGTATTTTTATTTTTTCTTCCTCATTCACGGATATGAACAATTTTTCTGATTTATTGAATATTTCTTTGAAATTTTCATTAATATATGTTCGCATACCTTTCACTTCACTTAAAACAGTTTCAACATTATCTACTGCTTCACTTAAATCACATTTTACCGACTGCAATATTTTACATAATGGCAAAGTTATAGAAAAAAGTGTGGTCGGAGTTATCATACTTGATGGGTCCGGTGCGCGAAATTTTAAAAAATGTCACGGCGCATTTAACATCCAACAATCTTATCAGTTATCACATATAAGATAAATGATAACAAGTTAACATTGATAATAGATTTCAATTTGTTCAATTTGTTCTGCTGTTATTCATTATTTGATTTTGGTCTTTAGTACTGGTATTATTAGTTATTACCTTGCCAATTCAATATTATTGACTATAATTTCAAAAAATGGAAGGTTTAAATTCTAAGGTACCTGCTATGTTTTTTTTGAGGACATTTAAATTTTACATGTTTAACAACATTTGTTTGTTACAACTACATTAGTACTTTTTTTTTCTTTATTATTTATAATATCTATGTTATCTTAATTTGCTAAGCTAAAAAGAATAATTAACTTGTCCTGTATGGTTGTATTTAAGTGTAAATTTTAGTCATATGTATATTGATGTATTGATGAAATATAATAAACCATGGTGATATTATAATCTTACCATTTAATGTTTATGTTAATCATGAATTGTATATTGTATTTTAATTTTATTGGACTAGAGTTCCTTAATTTGTATGTTAATGTGATTGATTATATCATATTTTACCTATTATTTCTTTTCTTTCCTATTCTGTGTACATAAATAAATTAGTCAAAAACAATTGGTGTTGTTGTGTTATATAATGGATTGTTGGACAATAGTAACCTGGTTACAATGTATAAATTAAATTTGTGTATGAAACAATTCTATTTAAATTTCAATGTGTCTGCTTGACACATATTCAATGGATAAAATGTTTGATCACTTGTATTTCAGATTTTTAAATGTACTATTTGTAAAACAATGTACAAGTATAAATATACTTTAAAAAGACATTTAAAAGAAAAGCATGGCATATTCGATGATAGCATAAGCCAAAAGAAAAATGTCAAGTGTGAGTTATGTGAAAAACATTTTGGCATGAAAAAAGATATGTTGAGACATTTAAGGACGATTCATAACAATAAAGGATCAGAACATTTTAATATAGAAGTACTTACAAAATTAAATATAACTATAGCTGCTTAATAAATTTTATACAAAAAAATAATTATTATAATACAGGTAAAAACAACAATTCCGGATAAAAATACCATCACCCAGTCATTCCAAAATAATGAGTATTTACAGGTATCTAATTTACTCAGTGTTTAATGAGAAATGCCCACGTTTAAAATTTTTTAACATTCCATACATTTTATTATTTATCAAAGACTTTTATCAAGGAAAATAATAAAATTAGTTTTGATTTACAGAGCATATTACCTGAAGGTTATAATTATCATGTCGAAGATACTAAGTTTTTAGAAAATGGGCAATTTATTGTTAGATTTGAAATATATAATTTTAAGTATGATGAAATTTCATCATGGATATTGAAATTTAATCAAAAAAGCAAAACAACTTATTTAGTGACAAATGTAAGAAAATCTGAATTACCAAGTGTTCTGTTTAAGGTCTAATTCATCATTACTATGTCACACGGTACCTAATTCTTAGTTGTTTTATAAATATTTATTATTTTACGTTATTTTTATTTATAAATTATAAAAGCTAAAGCTATTTAAATAACAATATTTGTATAACTTTTTTAGAAAAGGTATCGCTGTCATCATAACACAAGGCCAAAGAAAACTGCAACCCCCTGTTCTAAACATTTAAATTGTAAATCTACTATTTGCATACAAATTGTTGAACATGAAATGGAACAAGTATATGATCTGTTAGTAAAACAAAATTATTAATTTATGTATTATACCATACGTCGTAACATAAGAGCAACATAGATAAATATTAATTTGTGGTGGGCTTGTTCTAAGGGTGCAATATTTTCAGGTATTTATGGTTAATGGTTTTTTTCTTTTATTATTTTAAAGTGGAGAAGATAATGAAAATATGGTAGTTGAAAATACCAAAGCAATTGTTGATTTTAAATTCATACATAACCATGAAATTATGAGAGCTGATGTTTTGAAATACAGAAAACCATCGGAAGAAGTAAAAGCTACATTTTTAAAATTCTTTGAAGAGGGTAAAACACCGGCAAAAGCTCTATTTTCTTTCAAAACACAATTACGTATTGAAAAAGGAAATAATTATTATGTTTATGCTGGTGACCGTGGAGAACTTCCAAATTCAGAATGGGTTTATAATCTATATTATAAGACTTTTAACCAACATTTTGGTGCATCACATGGTGAACCAATGATGGAATCGCTGAGAAACGCAGTAAATCAATATCATGAGGAATGTAGTTCTACTTGTGCTCTGATGGAGACCCTTGAGGATGGAAATGTTGCTATTGTTATCGCAAGTTCACTCATGAAACGAATAAGTACCGGTGTACATGAAAGTGGAGAAATATTATTTATTGATGCTTCTGGAAATGTTGATCGATATGGGTGCAAAGTTTTCCTAATTTATACAAATAGTTGTGCTGGTGGACTTTTAATTTGTACATTAATATTGACCAGTGAATCATCAACGATTATTTCATTAGGATTGGAATTATGGAAAAAGTTGCTTCCACAACATGCATTAGGTGGAAGAGGAATAAATGGACCGAAAATTTTTATGTCTGATGATTCAGCTGCAGAGAGAAATGCACTATGTGAAGCTTTTCCTCAATCAACTCTGCTATTGTGCATATTTCACGTATTACAGGTAGGGATATAAAATATAATATAACATAACAATGATTATTTTTAATTTTTTAATTATATATTTAATCTAAGAACTTTAATTCTAAAATATTAATTTAAACATTTTCTCTAATTACAGGCAGCTTGGCGGTACTTATGGGACTCTCACCATGGAATAATATTACAGCATCGTCAAATTCTTTATAACAAAATTAAAAAAAATGTTGTATTCAAAAACTTTTGTAGAATTAGAAATATTTTACCAAGAAATTATGAACGATGACTTGACAAAACAATATTCTAGGTTTGAGAGTTATGTAGTAGGTTTATTTCAGCGACGTAATGAATGGGCACTTTGCTTAAGACAGTCATTGATTACACGTGGACAAAACACAAATAACATCTGTGAAGCAGGAGTTAAGATTGTAAAAGATACAATACTTGACAGAACAAGGGCATATTCTCCAGTACAGTTATTTTTTTTTATCGTTAATGATCTTGAAAAATTTTATGAAATGAAGTTGTTAGATATTGCAGCTAATCGCCCTGCACAATATTTAAAAAAAAAATGTATATTAACTGAATCACAAAAAGAGCATTTAGAATTTAAAGATTTAGAATCAACATACGAGGTTAAAAATAATCATAAGAATACACTTTACCATGTAGACCTGGATTTAGGAATTTGTTCATGTCCAGAAGATTGTACTGGTAAACCTTGCAAACACCAGATATTTGTTGCATCAAGCTTAAATGTTGATCTTAAGCTTTGTTTACCAACTAATGAAGAAACCAGAAAAGCATTACATATAATTGCCACTGGAAGCTCAGAAATTGAAAATGGGTGGTATGGTTCAATTCTAAAGCAGCCTCAATCCATATCAGTAAATACTGAAAACAAAATATTAGTATAAATTGTGTTCAAGATACAATAGCCAATGAGGTAACAATTAAAGAAAATGACAACATGGAAAACAATGAAAGTGAAACTGCTAGTAGTGCAAATGTTTGATGGTAAGATGGTACAAAAAATGAGAGATGTAATAAAATCAGATGAAACTTACTTTACACCTGGAATTAAAGCAATGAGTAATTAATTTAATAAGAATGTAAAGACACATGCTAGTCTTCTATCAGCTATGATGACGTTTGGTAAATATTCTGGTCTTGATCCAACTTCCAAGAAACTTAAATTGGTTGGAAACAAGCGCATTGGTACACAACCCACAGCTAGATCCAGACGCACAACTGAAATTAAGGGAAGAAAAAATTTAGCTGCAGGAAGGGTTCCTAAGTGGAAACGCATTCCAGAACACACCTATGGAAGCCAACCTAATTCTAGTGTTCTGCCACATACCCCGAAACCATTTAACTCTGAAAGTACAATATTGAAACCACAAAAAATGCCACACAATTTATCATATTGCGTTGAACAGAATAAAAGATTAGGAGCGACACATAGTGCTAAATAATTATTACCTATTAATTATTATATTATATTATTAATGACAAAATGTATTATTATACTGATGTTTTCACATATCATATTATTATACTGATTTTTTTACATACATATTTATTTTCATATTAAATTATATTAAGTTTTTGAAATATTATATTATTAAACGACTAAACTAAAAATTAAAACTGTTAAGTTGTTAACTTGTAATCATTTATCTTATATGATAACTGATAAGATTGTCGGATGTTAAATGCGCCGTGACATGTTTTAAAATTTCGCATCTGGTGCAAGAACCGGTTATCTCCAATTTTTTTGAAAATGCATTATTTTATCTGATAACGAAGAATTTTGTCTACATTTCGGTGCAATAATCGGCTATGTCCGTTTATTAGATAGCCTAATATCATACAAATGGAGATGTCTGGTATACAGTTACGGTGCAAAAACCGGCTATCTCCGGAGATACCCGGTTATTGCACCGAGACATGGGCAACACTGTAAAATAGTACGCGAGATGATAGAATAATATTATTTTATCAGTTATTATAATTTCGTAAATTTACTATTCGTTTTTCGTTATAACTTATAACTTTATAAGGTTTATATTTGTTAATTTAAATGGTTATTTACTGCTTTAATCGATTATAATATATTATAATACATTTGCATGACAAAATTTACACCTGTATGACAAAAAATGATGTGCGGTGCTGGAGAGACGTCTCGCCAGCACCACCCAACATTAAAAATTAATAATAATAACAAACTTGATATGCTAAAATGTAGCACGTGATTAGCATGAATTTGCATGACAGACACCGAAATTGGCACGCGTCTGGTTCCCGAGAAAAACCCGTTCGAATATTTCGCGCGTCTCGCCAACGGCGTCGGCCATAGATATAATAATATTGTACTATTATAATTTTATAATATGTTGTTTATTACACGATATTATATTGTATTAATCTTTTAACCGTAGGTTGAATAATTATTAATTCGATCTAATGATTTGACACTTTTAGACTTAATATAATGCTCATTAATTGTGGATCCCTTGTTTATAACTTGGTTGACTCGTGGTCGTACGCAAGTAGGTCGTAAAATATTTGAATATTTTGATTAAAATAGTAAAGTAGTATTTATCAAATCAAATATTAAATGCATTTCTCTTTATCTCTAAAATAACTTAATTCGAATCATCTCTAAGGTTTAACATGATCATGTTATTGTAAAATGGTTTGTACCGTGGTATGACGGACTAGCTGGGTAATTCCAAACAGACGTTCATCGATATCCTTTTGTATAAATTATTGTTGTTGCTCATCGCTCATTGCCTATTAAAAATAAATTCCTCTACTATTTTGATAATATATAATTATCAATAACTATTTTTACCATCCGTGTTTTTGTTTTACTCATTATTCCGATTTCAACGTTGTTGAAGTAAATGTTGTTTTCCACGTCGTTGTGAAATTGGTTATATAGGTTGTACTTAATAGTTCGCTTATGTATAATTTTTCTATTTAATATTAATTCATTACTAACCGAATAATGGCGGGTCGAAAGCCAGTTATCCCGTCTCATCAAATTGTGGAAGCAGTTCTTAAGTTTAAAGACCGTATAATAACTGAAGTCAATGGTGAAAAAAGTAAGTCGACCTACATTTTCATATAAACTTACAGTAAGTATGAACTTAATACTTAATTATATTAAATTAATTGACGTATTAAATTATAACTTTATTGTGTATAGTACCTTTTTTTTTTTTTACGTGATATCGAGGACCGGAGAAGGAACCAATTTTGCCAATACTTCTCCTCCGGCCACAATCGTTTATTGAAACAATCAAATACGTATCCTATTTTTAGTAGTGGTAGGCTGTATCCTACTCACTACTATAGCAACAACAAAACAAACAATTATATTATATGACAATGTGGGAGCCCCTACTCTCAAAAAGTTCCTTCAGCTACATAAAATCTTAACTAGGTTACTTTAGGTTATGTATGTGCCTGCGGGGGCCTGCCGTGCTCTTTACTCTTGCTCTTTGCTCCACCATTCCGTAAAAGAACCTGAACAGTTCCTCAGCTTCTCTCAGGATCGCCGACTTTTCGTTTGGGTCCGATGGAAGTTGTTCAAAACTTGGACCGCAGAGGATGTCTGGGAGATCCCTGGCACTTGGTCGGTAACCTAGCCGGGTGCTCAGGGGCTCGCGGAACCTGTCCCAGTGTGGGCACCCAAACAGGGTGTGCTCGGCGGTGTCTGAGTTGTCTGAGCACTGCCGACAACGGGGGCTGGCAGCCCTGGCCATTCGGTGTAAGTACCACTGGAAACATCCATGACCCGTGAGTGCCCGTGTCATGTGGAACGTCAGAGGCACTCACGGGACAGTTCTCCCCATCCATCTTCCTACATCCGGAATGATGCGCCGGGTCCACGAGGCCTTCTCAGTTGCCTGACATCTTGCCTGCCACTGTGCGATAGTGGACTTCCCCTCCTCGCATTTAACGGCCGCTTTTGAAGGCCGCAACTCACCGGGCTCAGTTTCAGCCTGTAGTCGATACCTTATTCTACGCCTCTCTAGACCAACCAGGTCTGCCGGCGGTGTGCAGGCCAGAACTAGTGCAGCCTCGTCTGAAACGGACCCTCAGGGGGGCGGACCTCAGCGGACGGATGAGATTCCTCCTGGTTCTGGCGACATCGGCAATGGCTTTGCTCCATACGGGGGCGGCGTAGAGAAGTTGGCTATCCACGACCGAACCGAGCAGCTTACGCTTCCACTGATCTGGACCTCCTATATTTGGCATCAGCCGGGCCAGCGCAGCCGCTGTGCGTGCCGCCTTTTTGGCGACGGCATTGACGTGAGCCGCAAATGTCAGGTTTAAAAATAAAGGAAGACAAGAAGTTAGTTTTTTGTCTTGGGAAAGACAAAATCAGCCGATCAATTCTGTGGCTTCATGTATCAAAGTAGTAATTAATAAACAGTTAATTTGAATCCCGATTTTTTAGTGTTTTTATCGATACTACGTTTTACATTTCCAGAAAAGAGCAATTAGCAGTCATCATTCGTTATGCTAATTTTGAAAAACTGAAAAAAGTAACTAATGAACGTCTTTTAAACTTGAAACAATTATCTCTTACATCTGGAAAGAATCTATTCATTATTTTCAAAGAGATCTGTGCTGAAAATAAACTGAATTAGAAACGGTTTTTAGTAGGTCAAAGCTATGACGGTGCAGCCGACATGCGTCGAGAGTATGCAGGCCTTCAAGCACTTGTGTGCCCAGATAATCCTGCAGCTGTACTACTTGGTGTTATGCACACAACTTAAGTTAAATAGTTGTTCGAGGATCTTGCAGTTCCCAAAATGCAGTAGACTTATTTTTCAATTTGGAATCCTTATACGCATTGATTTCAAGTAGCAAGAAAAGACTTTTTTGGTTTGATAATGCACAGAAAAATCATTATCCAATGCAACGAATCCATGGACTAAATCAGGTTGAGACAACACGCTGGTTTTCACTTTCATCCGCATGAAACACAGTAATTCTAGCATTTAATGCTGTGATTGACCCGCTAGAAAAAATTCAGCAAGAAGAGGGATGTGCAGATTTTAAAACTGGAGCAAAACCAACATGTTTAATGGAATATTTTATTTCTGAACAATTATTTTTACCGCATTATTATATATTGATATTTTCTATATTTTTGATCCATGAACCAAAATACTACAATCAATTAATATTGATTTATTAGGTGCTATAAAAAGTTTATACATAGTAACTGATAGAATAAAAAAACATGTGAACAGATAAGGGATACACAGAACTTTGTAAAAAAAGCAAAAATTACATGGAAAAATCAGATTTTGAGTTCTCACCTTTACTTATTCATCGTTTAAGAAAGAAAAAAATATTATCGAATGAAGAAGTTGAGGATCATCCTATTACTGATCCTCTTTATGAATTTAAAATCAAAACATACTTTGTTTCTTTAGACACAATGATTACTGCTATAAATGATAGATTAGAATATCATTGAATTCAAACTGTACACTTCTTTCACCTTATATAATTTATAAGTCGATGCATTTGTATGATAAATGGACTGAGGGCGGTCCAAGAGGTATTAGAATGGTTTGTAAAAATAATAGTTATATTTTTCCCCGAAGTTATTTAACTTACATAAGTATCAAATTGATTTTATTTTGCTTTCACCAAACTCAACCCATATAACCCAGCCATTGGACATATCATTTTTCGACCGTTAAAAGGATCTTGGAGAAAAGTTCTAGATGACTGGAAAAGTAATAAAAAATCACCGTCGGTTAACAAAAGTACTTTTCCTTCTCTTCTAAAATCTACGATTGATAACTTAAATGGAAGCGATGGAGATGTTATTAGAGCTGGATTTGAAAAATCTGGGATTTGGCCTTTAAATATGCTACCGAAAGATGATCAATTTGATACAAGCAGTGAAATTGTAGAAAATAACTTAACGATGTTTTTAAAAGAGTTTAGATTTGGAGAGTGCTCACAAAAAAACTAGAAAATCAGGTTTAAAAGTTCCAGAGGGGAAAAGTGTTCGTGCTCATGATTTTGAATCATCAGGGGGGTTGGGGTTCAAAGAAATCATAAAATTCATAATCCAATAATGGTGTGTCTCCCATTATTTCCTTTTTTTTATATAAATCAGAACAATTGTTCATATCCGTGAACGAGGAAGAAAAAATAAAAATACCAAGGTTAGTAAGTCGTTCAACAACTAGAATAAATGTGGATACCAAAATTCCTGAAGACTATTTTCGTATTGCAATTGCAATTCCATTCTATGATGATTTTATTAGTCAACTTAAAGAACGGTTTTCCAAACACAAGACGATTTTATCGTCTTTGTATTTATTAATACCAAAAATGTGTTTGAAATCTCCAATTTTAGAATCAGATTTTATAAATGTTGACACATTACCTTCAGAACTAAAATTGTGGAAAATAAAATGGATTGCTTTCA